AGGGAATTCTTTAAGCTGATGATCAGGACGGGCCCGGAATGATGCTGCCAACATCCAAACGGCCCTTGGGAGAGAAACAACGTCCCCAGCCCATCCTCCTCCCCACGCCTCATCTGCCAGCCAGAGGCAAAGTGCTCATTCTGGGGTGTGGCTTGATTGAATATTCAAAGTGGGTGGAGTTTGGGTGGGGCTTGAGCACCACTCATTTCCAGGCCTCTGTTTTGGAAAAAGGGGAAGTGTCAGGGAGTGGGAGGTGCATGATGGGAGTGGGAGGACCCCTCACGGGAATTTCGAGGGATGAACCCCATGGTCGTCCCGGGGGTGTCTTCAGGCGGCCCTCTTGGTGTTCCAGCTGGCGCAGTTATGCATGTACAACATGTGGAATTTGTGGTTTCCTCATGGGGAGGCAGGGCCATGGTGGCTCTGTGAGCTGTTTTGTGCAGGCTTAAGCCCAAGTGGCACAGGCGGCAGCCAATGGCTTGGAGCTGACCAGCAGCAGTTGGGTTGGGGCTCTGGGACCCTGCGCTTCCCCCACGCCGCCCACCCTCCTCTCACCTCAAGCTGACTGTGTCCCTGCCCGCCCCACTGCCCCACTGCCTGCTCCTGTCTCAGCGCCCCTGAGGCCTGAGATGCTGCCAGGCGGGGACACTGGGGCTCCGAGCAGCTCATCCCTGGATGCGGCCGGGCTCCTGTGGCCGCCCCCCCCCCCCAGGAAGCCCCTCCCCACACTCACTGTTCTTGTGGATCCAGGACCCTCTTTCTCCGACACAGCAACCTACAAAACCGTAGGGAGGGTTCTCCACCATCTGAATCTGTTTTGTTAAAGATGTGTTTGGAAGGCAGAGTAGAGAGAGGCAGAGAGGAAGGTCTTCCATCCGCTGGTTCACCCCCTAAATGGCTGCAACTGGCCAGAGCTGGGCCTATCCAAAGCCAGGAGCCTTGGAGCCGCTTCTGGGGCAGGGCCCAAGCACTGGGGGTCACCTTCCACTGCTTCCCCGGCCATGGCAGGGGGCGGGGTCGGAAGAGCAGCTCTGGACCAGGAAGCTGTGCCATATGGGATGCCAGCGCACTACGCCACAGCGCCAGCCCCCCACCACCCGAGTATTTGTCACAGCTCCTGCAGGAGTCTTGGGCCCAGGGAATTCCAGGAAGGATCCTGTCAGTTTCAGCCATGAAATGTCACGACCTGGCACACGGCTACACGTGCAGGCGCCCTGTGCCCGCTGGGGACGTGGTGCCCGGACACGGCAAGAAGGAAGTTGGCCCTTGCGAAACATCTGGCGGGAAATGTGCCTGGGGCTTGGTTCCTGCATGCTGTGTGCACAGCAACTGAAGGCGGAGACAAGACACCCCGGGGAAGGAGTCAGCCCACTAGGGAGGCCCCGTGTCCTTGGTGCTGGGTCCTGGCCCTGGGAGAGGAGGGCGGAGCCGGCTGACAGGGCGGGGGCGGGGCCCCATCCATGCAGGGAGCCTTGCCCTCCCCATCCTGGGGACTGAGGGCATGGCTGGGGGTGAGGTGCGGTTCCCCTTCCTGTGGGGCTGCGGGTGGAACAGCCCTGCGATGCTGGGAAGACCCGGCCTCCGAGCTTCCACACCCGGTGTGTGCCCGTGCCATGGGCGCTGTGCCGGGGCTGGTCAGGAGACGCCATGAACCCGTCCTTCATGGTCCTGCTCTGCCTGGGTGAGACTGGAAGACAGGGTGAGGAGACCCTGCTCTGGGAGGGACCCCGCCCCTGCCCAGTGCCAGGCCCTGCCCTGGAGACCCCAAGCTCAGGAGCCCCAGGGAGGAGAGGACGGGGACAGGGGAAACCTCTCACGGGGAGCTCTCCTCCAGGGCTGTGCGGGCCCCAGCACCCGAGTGCAGGCAGGTGAGCGTGCCCCCACTGTGCCGGTCCCCTCCCCCCCCATGGGACAAGGGCCACCCCAGGCAGCCTGGTGGGGACAGCAGCCCTGTCTGGTGTGGAGGGCGTCTGGGAGGGTCCTGGCCTACGAGGGGACGTGGTCCTGGGACCCAGCCTCTGGTTTCCTTCCAGGGACCCTCCCCAGACCCATCCTCTGGGCTGAGCCAGGCTCTGTGATCGCCCTGGGCAGGCCTGGGACCCTGTGGTGTCAGGGGACCCTGGAGGCCCAGGAGTGCCGTCTGTATAAAGAGGGAATCCCAGAGCCCTGGGACAGAGTGATGCCCCTGGAGCGCAGAAACAAGGTCAAGTTCTCCATCCCTCTCATGGCTGAGGTGTACACGGGGCGCTACAGCTGTGTCTGCCTCAGCACTGCTGGCTGGTCAGAGCCCAGTGATGCCCTGGAGCTGCGGGTGTCAGGTGAGGTCACGCAGGGTCCCTGCCCCACAGGCTGTGCCCTCAGGGAGGGGTCTGCTCCCAGGGGCCCCCCTCTCATCGCGCAGCCCTGGGGGTACCGTGGGGGGTGAGCCCTGCTTCACATGACTGCTCCTCCTCTCCCAGGAGCCTACAGCAAGCCCAGCCTCTCGGCCCTGCCCAGCCCCGTGGTGACCTCAGGGGACAATGTGACCCTCCAGTGCCGCTCCCAGCTGGGATTCCACAGGTTCATTCTGACAGAGGAGGGGGCGCCCTGGGCTGCCAGGACCCGGAGCTCAGAGCCACACCCTAGTGCGCAGTCCCAGGCCCTGTTCCCTGTGGGCCCTGTGACTCCTGGCCGCAGGTGGGCGTTCCAATGCTATGGCTCCTACAGGGAGAATCCTTCTGTGTGGTCAGAGCCCAGTGACGCCCTGGAGCTGGGGGTGACAGGTGAGGAAGCCACAGCCTGAGCAGGAGCTCGGTAGGTCACGGAGACACTGAGAGGAGGCGTAGATGGGAACTGGGCAAGGGGCATGGGGCTCCTGGGCCAGACACCCAGAGTGAGGGCGGTGGGACTGCAGGGCAGGAGGGATAGGGTGTGGGCGGAGCCATTGTGCAGCCCCGCCCCTCTTCCCTCCTGACCCAGCAGGACCCTCAGTGGTCCCTGCAGAGGGCCTGATGGGTTCTGCCCAGCGCCCTGGCCGGCAGCCCCAGGCCGGGCTCCCACAGCGGGCGAGCATTGCAGAACTGGACAGGACCCACGCAGGACGGGCCTCACACCCCGGGGTGTCTATTAGAGTAGGACAGAGACTATCGAGCCCAGTGGGGCCTGGTCATGGCCCAGGGTGGGCCCGGGACCTGCTCCTGTAGGGAGAAGCTCGCCAGGCTTGGCTGCCACATGTCTCTCCCCTGCGGAGTTCCCTGGCGGCTCCAGAACACAGACAGAGTGATGTGTGGGCGACTTACACGAGGACCACGCTGAACTGCGTCGCGAGACGAGAGGCTGGGAAGCACAGAGTGTGGAGCAGGCCGGGGTCTCCTCCTCCTCACTGTCCTGTACCTGTTCTCAGGAGGACCAGAGCCCAGCAGCCCCTTGCACCCCCAGCCAGGCTCCCCCGCTGGTGAGTGAGCCACAGGCCTGACCCAGGGCTCAGGCTACTGAGGGGAGTAGGGGGTTCTGTGTTACTGGGGCTGGCAGGCCTGATGACCCCTCCGTGCATACCCCCAGCCCCAGCGCCCCAGGACCACTCCCTGGAGAACCTCATCCGCATGGGCGTGGCGGGCTTGGTCCTGCTGGGCCTCGGGCTTCTGCTGGCAGAGGCTTGGTACAGCCAGAGAAGGACCCGGGCTGCAGGCCAGCGGTGACCTGGAGAGAGGACAGAGCTGGGTCAGAGGCCAAGCCCTGGTGCGGGGGAGGGGGGATCCGGGCATGCATGTTGAGAAGCTGTGGGAAGTGGGAAGAGCTCACCTGGGGTTGTGGGAATCCTGCTCAGGGGCAGGGACCCTGGTGGGCTGCTGGCAGTGCTGCTCCCCTGGGCTCCCATGCACATTCTGGGAAGGGGCTCTGGCCTCCCGCAGCCCTGCCCACCGCCCTGCAGGCTCCCGTGCGGTTCCGTCCTGTTCCTCTCCAGGGACCGCACACAGCTCAGTGGCCCTGAGTGTCCACAGGAGCCCGAGCTCTGCGCCCACGGAGAGGGTAACACCAGGATTTGCTCCCCTTGACCTTCAGCAAGTGGGCCAGGATGTGGTGGGACACCTGTCACTCAGGATGGATTTAAAATTCTGCTCACCAAAAGGAGGCCATGACAGGTGGGGCCAGATGTAGGAGGTCAGAATCAATAGATCTGGGCTGGTGCTGTGGCTTAATGGATAAAAGCTGCTGCCTGCGGTTCCGGCATCCCCTGTGGGCACCGGTTCAAGTCCTGGCTGCCCCACGTCCAATCCAGCTCTCTGCTGTGGCCTGGGAAAGCAGTAGAAGATGGCCCAAGTGTTTGGGCCCCTGCATCCATCTGGGAGACCCAGAAGAAGCTCCTGGCCCCTGGCTCTTGGCTCTGGCTCCTGGCTCCTGGCTCCTGGCTCCTGGCTCCTGGCTCCTGGCTCCTGGCTCCTGGCTGGAGATCAGACAAGCTCCAGCTGTGAGGACCCATTGGGATTAAACCAGCAGATGGATACCTCTCTCTCTCCTTCTCTCTGTAACTCTGATTTTTAAATAAATATTTTTAAAAACGTGTGGCTTATCAAACTCTAAGGTAAAATCCCAGATGACCGTGGGAATCCACCCTCTGAGAGGACCACACAGAAGTGAAAGAAAGTGTGTGCAGGGTTTCTTCAGGCACGGGAAGTTCAAGGTCATCTGGATTTCTCAATGCACAACTAACATAAACCCCACAACACGGCGGTTCTGGCGGACGGCAGCACCCGGTGTTCTGGAAGAGTGCGGATGCCTGCCCGGCTTCCTCTGATGGCTGGTTACTCTGCTTGTCCGTGTGGTGCAAGTCTGCGTTTCCCACAGAGTTCAGGGAGGTGGGATTGAGAGAGCGCTGTGGATTCTGCACCAGTGTTTCCAGTTATGGGCTGGGACCCCACCCCACCACAGCGTAGCTTAGGGAGTAAAGCCAACACCTGCAGCGCCCGCATCCCATATGACCTCCAGTTTGAATCTCAGTTGCCCCACTTCTGATCCAGCTCCCTGCTAATGCCCTGGGAAGGCAGCAGAGGATGGCCCAAATGCTTGGGGCCCTGCACCCACGTGGGAGACCCAAAAGAAGCTCCTGACTTCAGCCTGGCCCAGCCGTCTGGGGAGTGAGCCAGAAGGTGGCAAATCTCTGTTGCCGTCTCTCCTCTCTATGTCCCTACCTCTCGAATAAATAAATCAGAGTTTATAAAAAATTTTAAACACGCCTAGAAGGAAATACCTGGGTAAATATGACCTCAGACTTCATCACAGCGTCTTAGCTGTGATTCTGAAAGTACGAGGAACAAACAGGAAAATGGCTGCATTGATCATCCTCAAAACTTCAGAACTCTTGTGCACCGTGGACAGCTATGAAGGGAGCAGAAAGACAACGCACACATTGTATGAAGATCTGGAAGCCACAGTAGGAAAAGCAAGGGTGCAACTCACTCAGCGCAAGGGAAGGGAAGTGCAAATAATGCCAGAGAGAGGCACCCCCCATGCCACTTCACTGGTCACTTCTCAAAGACACAGTAGACAGAGTGTGGTCAGGGTGTGGGGAAATCGCAGCCCTGAGACGCGGCTGGAATGTGCAGGGTTTGGCCACTGCGGCAAGAGGCTCATAGTTCCTCAAAGCACCAGACCCAGCCTTAGCACAGCACAGAGCAACCCACCCCCTGCACGGAGTCAGGCGCTCCCGTTGACCCACATCCTGGCAAGGGTCAGGGTCAGGTGCAGCGCTCACCAGTGTGCTGAGTGCAGGCTCTGTGGAGCGTTCTCACCACCGAGGGCCTGGGGGAGGCCCTGACAACCACCCAGGGACTGTGCACACAGGCATCCATCCAAGCACGGCCGGCCAGGGACAGGAGCCGGATGTGCACCGGGGATGCGGGGCTCGGGGTGGTGGGTCCCTGGCTCCGTGGGAACTCTGCTGAGCCCCAGGAAGCCATGAAGTGAGGATGCGTGGGGCTTGGGGGCACAGCCACACACAATGGGCCTCGCATAGCACCCTTCCCAGAAACACCCAGGGCTGGAAGCCCACAGAGCCCTGGGGATGTGCAGGGCTGTGGAGGCCAGAGGGGGTCGTTGCATTTCTGTGTCTCTGCTGTGAACCCCACTGCATGCACGCTTTGCCAGCTCCTGTTTCTGGGAGGGGGACTTCCTCTCAACCAGACGCAGGGCTAAGGAAAGGACAGATGCCTGTCAGTGCCTTTGCACCCGAGGCTGTGACGAGCCACCGTGCATTCTCTCATGGGGCCCCCACCCCAGAGCAGGCAGCTGAGAGCTCCACCCCCAAACACGGCTGAGGATGGGGTCTTCCATTCTGTCTTCTGATTCACCTCTGGGGTCAGCAGGCGCTCCTAGGGACTTCTGAGGAGGGGTCCCTACCAGAACGGTGCTGTCCCCACGTCTGAATCTGGAAGGGACACTGCAGGACCCTGAGACTGGAGTGCTGCAGCCACGGCCACCCAAGGAGGGGAGGTCTCGGGCATCCCCCCACCACAGAGACACTGGGGGACGACGTCACCTGTTTAGGTCTCAGGAAGCGGCACCCCCATGTCATCCAGGAGCACGGAGCCCAGGTGCTCAGATCAGGGGAGGAGAGGCCGTGGGGGGCTCAGGACACAGGTGCTGGGAATCCCCAGCCGAACGTGGAGTGTGGTTCCACACGAGCCCAGTCCTCTGCTCCAAGTCCCCCTCAATCAGAGAAACCCAGCACAGGGTATGGGGCATGGGTCACCAGCTGGCCCGGGGCCAGGGTATCCCATGCTCTCAGTTCCCAGAGGAGCTCAGGGCCTGTGCTCCAAGACACCCTCCCCTCCTCAAGCCCCTAGCAGGGACCCAAGCCCGCCAGCCCCCAGCAGGACCCCAACCCAGGCCCGTGTCCCCTGTTGTGGGCCCTCCTGCACCTGCCACAGCCACAGCTGGGCTGCAGCTCAGCCACACCTCTGTAGGGTCTGCCTTCTTCATCTGCTCTCATCAGCTCTGAGAGGCCTGGAAGATTCTGTCACCCTCCCCACGGGATCCAGCCCTCCCCACACCCCTCCCCTCCCCCGCCCCAGCCCCCACAACTGCACTCAACCGCTCAGGAAAGGGAAGTGCGTGTCTCGGCCACCCGGCCTGTGCAGGGAGAACCAGAACCCTAACTGGACAGAGAGTGGACTCCTGGAGGGGTGGGGCTGGAGTGGGGGAGGGAGGCAGGGCAGGCACAGTACAGGGGGCAGCGGAGGCGGAGGCCTGGTCCTAGCTGTCCCTAGTGCCCGCTGCTTCCTGGGTCCCGTCCTCAGGGACAGCGGGGGAGGTTGGGGAGGGGCTGCCCCCGTTCCTGTGAGGCCGCAGATGAGGAACCCGTGACGTCTCCCCGCTCATCTCCAGCCGGACTCTGGGCCTGCGCCCCTCACAGCTGCTCTGCTCCACAGGGACCATGGGCGGCGGGGCCCAGACCCCAGCCCTCACTGCCCTCCTCTGCCTGGGTGAGCTGGGGACACGGGGACAATGGGACCCCTACAGGTGCGGGAGGGGACAGCGTCCTGCACCAGCTGGGACCCCAGGGCTCAGAGGACCAGGGCAGGCCTGGGCATCTCTGCAGGGGTGGGGAGTGGGGAACAGCTCTCATGGGACTTCTCTTCCAGGGCTGTGCCGGGTGCCAGGGGATGGGGCACAGGTGGGTGAGTCCTCCCCTGACCTGGCTCAGTCCCAGGGGCTCCAGACAGCTCATGTTAAGGAGCCCAGGGGGGCTGGGCTGATGGTGATGGCTGGGAGGGGCTGGGAGTGGAGCTGGGGAATGGGGTGGGAGAGAGGCTGCACCCGGGGTCTGCAACTTTGATTCCTTTCCAGGGACCCTCCCCAAGCCCTCCATCTGGGCCGACCCAAGGCCCCCTGGTCGCCGTAGGAAGCCCTGTGACCCTCTGGTGCCAGGGCTCTCTGCAGGCTGAGGTCTATCATATGTATACAGAGAGCGGCCGTCATCCCTGGGAAACGAGGCCCCAGCAGGACTCCAGACACAAGGCCAGCTTCTCCGTGATCACGTCCATGAGCTCCCATGACACAGGGCAGTACTGTTGTGTGTATTGGACCTCGCTCAGCCCCTCCCAGCCCAGTGACCCCCTGACCCTGGTGGTGATGGGTAAGGTTTTTCCCCTGCCCACCGAAGAAGAAACATGGACTTCACGGAGCAGCAGCCCCCAGACATTGGTTTGCTTCCCCTGCAGGGATGTTCCCGGCGCCCTCCCTTTCGGCCCAGGCAAGCCCCGTGGTGGCGTCAGGAGAGAACGTGTCCCTCTCCTGTGGCTCAGATGAGGCGGGCACTGCCCATCTGCTGAAGGAGGGTGGAGCCGGCCCCCTGCACAGCCTGGAAGCCAGATACTCCCATGGGGCTGGGCTGTGGCAGGCCACCTTCCTCCTGGGCCCCGTGGACAGCACCCAAAGGGGCATCTACAGGTGCTACCGTGCTGACACCAACAAGACCCGTGTGTGGTCACTGCCCAGTGACCCCCTGCAGCTGGAGGTGTCAGGTGAGGGCCCCAGCCCTGTCTCATCAGTCCTCATGGTCAGTGCAGGGCTGTCCCCACAGGAGGACTGGGCTGGGGGAGGGGACCTGGGGGAGGTCACAGGGAGTGAGAAACAGCAGAGGTCTCAGCCCTGGGGCCCGGGTCACCCTGTGTGGCACAGGGTTTGTGTGGGAAGTGGAGTGGATGGAACAGGGGTGTTGGGAAGAGAACTGGGCTGGGTGCACAGGCCTCTCACAAAGCCCACGCTGGGCGAGGGGACTCCCTAGACACAAAGATGTGCAGTCTGGGCTCAGGCTGCTGCGGGGAGGTGGGGTCCTGTGTTACTGGGGCTGGCCAGCCTAGGTGACCCCTCCGTGCACACCACCAGCCCCAGCGCCCCAGGACCACACCCTGGAGAACCTCATCCGCATGGGCTTGGCGGGCTTGGTCCTGCTGGGCCTCGGGCTTCTGCTGGCTGAGGCTTGGTACAGCCACAGAAGGACCCAGGCTGCAGGCCGGTGGTGACCTGGAGAGAGGACAGCGCTGGGTCAGAGAGGACGAGCCCTGGGGGCGGGGCAGGGGGAGCGTGAGCACAGTGGGGAACAGTCTTCCAGCATTCGGTTGCGGGAACTGCTGGGGGCAGCAGGGGCTCTTCCTCTATTCAGCTATGGACTTCTCCTGCCCTGAGGTGCGAGAGCCCCCCTGCAGACCAAATGTGGATCCGCACCATGTGCGCCTCGCGCTTAGCTCTTTCTTCATGGAGACTTTTGCTCTGTTTCTGGTGAATTCAGTTCCCAGTGCGCATGCGTGGGAATCCGCGTATCAGCCAACAACAGGGAGCTTGCGCCAAGTAACAGAATAAAGGAGCGAAATCGGATTTCAGGGTGGGCGGGGTCAATCCATCTGGGGAGTGAACCAGCAGGTGGAAGACTTTCTCTCTCTCTCTCTCTCTCTCTCTCTCTCGGTCTGTATCTAGCTCTGTAACTCTTTCAAATAAATAAAATATATGTTTTTAAAAAGTTAATGGTGTACAACATTGGTAATGTACTACAAGTCAGCAAATAATACACTCTGAAGGGCTGGTTTTATGTTATTTGAATTTCAGCACAATAAAGAAGGAAACATGGTTCCTTGGAATTACCATCCAATCCAACAGTTCCTCTCCTGCACATATAACCACAGGGATTGAAGCAGGAACCCAAGAAGGTTTTTGCATCCATGGGTTCATAGCAGCCTCATTCACATGAGCCCAAAGATGCCAGCAACCAGAATATGCAGACCAGATGAGTGAGTCCACAACAGGCAGTATTTGTAGACACGGCTGATACTCTCCTGTTAGAAAAGAAGGAGGGTCTGGATAATCGTGGAGAAATCAGCCGGTGTCACAGACACCATGCTCTGATTCTGCTCTGAGAGGTGCCCGGGGGTACAGATTCAGAGGGCAGAATGTGGACTCGGGTGTGGGGACGAGTGTGCAGGTGCCTGCTGAGTGGGTCTGGGGTTTCTGTCTCTGCTAATGAAGATGTTTGTGAACAGGTGCTGGTGGGTACACGACACAGTGAATGTGAGAGGTAGCTACAGCATGAATTAAATTTCTGTTAGGTCTGTAATCTGTGCTCTGTGAATTTCAGCTTGACAAAGGAGGAAGACACAAACACCAAAAACACATTTGCCACCTATTTTTCCCTTTAAATGAGCACGTAATAATTTGGGAGGTGCAGCGTGGTATTGGAGGGTGTGCTGATCACACCAGGGCGTTCCCATCTCGTCTTGTCTTGTGTTTGGGCCCAGCTCCTCTCCTCGAGTTCTTTGTGGAAACACTCAACAGGTTATGTGAGTCATGGGTGCCTCCTGTGCTGTGCAGACAGAGCCGTTCCTCTATCTGACTCCACCTTGGGACCCGGGGACCAACCCTCCCTCATCTCTCCCCCAGACCCTTTTCAGCCATAGTGGTCACCATCCTACTCTGCTACTATGAGACCAACTTTTCCAACTTCTGCGTGGAAGAGAGAACTTACACTGGATTCCTGGGAAGGCGTATTTCACTAAATGAGCGTGGCTGCTGCGGATCTGGGGCACCTGGTTCCCAAGGGAGCGTCCTCCTTCTTCCCTGGCACTTTCTGCGTGGAAGGAAGTCTACATGCAACGGTACCTGAGAAGTAGAGCGCAACGCACTTGCTCCGGCCGTGCCTCCACTGTAGCTCTAAACCAAGCCAGCCTTGCCCGTGTATCGAAGGGGGCATCTGGGATCCCTGCTTTCTGGAGGAGCCCGTCTGTGGTTTCTGGAAGAGAAGCGCAGGGTCTCTGAGTTTCCGGAAGAGGGTGTGCAGGGCTTCCGGAAGAGCGCTCTGGATTCCTGGGTCTACGGAAGAGCGGCCTGGGGTCTCCGGACACGAGCCCGAGATTCCCGGGTTCCTGGAAGAGCACATTTGAACACTGTAGGTCTCCTTAAGAGGGGGCTGGGGTCTCTGGACACGTGCCCGAGGTTCCCAGGTTTCCAGAAGAGCCCGTCTGGCATTTCCGGTCCGTCCACCATTAACCTTCTCTCTACCCGGCAGCTCCTCCTTCAGCCCCACCTGGCCCCTCGAACCCTTGGTATCATGCCCGCTTCCTCGTTTACTTCTCGACAGGTGCCAACTCCCTGAGCGCATGGGCGGCCCCTTGGCTCACCTGTCCACAACAGTGTGGGACAGAGAGGGGATCCTGGGGCCCAGACCCCCACCGCTCCCTTCTCCTAGCGCAGGTTGGGCACAGGGGAGGAGCTACGGGAGAGGAGAACCTTAGACACCTGCCCGCCCGCGTTCCTGCGGTGCAGCTCACATCGCTGTCATCATCAACCGAGGCAAATGGGGCCCAAAGCAAGGCGTCCCACAGTGGAATAAGACTCGGCCATAGAAGAGTGAAACCCAGATGTTTTCAGGAAACCGAGGCACTGCGGATACTGTGGAAGTGAAACAAGCCAGGCACAGGGAAAACCCACTCGGGAAGTCACTCAGGTGTGGGCTGTGAGGGACTCGGGGAGTAGAGTGGTGGTCACCAGGGGAGGCCATGGGTGCTGGGATCCACAGGTCAGTGTGCAGAGATACAGAATCACGTGGGAGAAGAAGGTCTAGAGGTGTAGTGTGTGTCATGGCGACTTAGTTAATAACGCTCACTGCATGGGCAGCTGAAATTGCTTAAAACTGTGTCAGATGCTCCCAGCACACAATAAGTCTGTGAGGTAATGCACACGTTATCTAGCTTGGGTTAGCTCTTCCACGTTTGTGTGCGTGTGTGTGTGGTGTGTTTGTGTGTTTGATGTTTACATGACAATTATACAGAAATACAACTTTTGAATATCAAAGCAATGATTTCTTTAAAAGGAGAAAGTTTGTTGACCTCTCCTCTTCTCTTTCAGGCTTCTGTGACAAGCCCTGCCTGTCCATGGATCAGGTTCTGGGGTTATGTCAGGAGAGAACATTTCCCTGCCATGTTGTTCCGCCTCGTGTCCTCTTGATAAAGTCCCAGTGAGCCCAGGGGGGAAATGGCTCCCTGCCACAGCGCTGATGCAAGGGGTTCCGGGGAACCTTGGCTCTGGTCCTGGGAACCCCCGCATCTCTGTGGTCGCCACCTGTGGTGGAATGAGAAGGCCATACCAAGATGGCCACTGGCAAGTGAGGGTCAGTTACTCAGGAATGGCTTCGGAAGCCCCCTTGGAAGCCACCTGGAAATGGAGTCTGCCTGGCAACAGGATGTGATTGGTTAGGGCAAAAACTGCCCGTTAACTGGATTGGCTGCCTTGGCTATATAAGCTGCTGTACCAACTGAAATAAACGAGTCTGTGGACTGCTCGCCTCTGGCCTGCTTTCACCTGACTCCCTGGGGTCTGTGTGGTAACTCTGTGCCTCTTGCCCCCACCACGCTCCTCCTCTCAGAACAAATCCACAGCAACAGCCACCATGGCAGCCCCCAGGTGTGGTGGCCCCCAGTGGTGCCCTGGAGCTCATGGTCACAGGTAGGTGCCTCTCAGGCCCTCTTTGTCCTTGGCAGAGGCTCGCAGCTGGCTGTGCAGGGCCCTGTCCACAGCAGGGGTGTGCAGAGCAGCGTAGGAACGCAGCAGAGGGCACCTGGACTTGGGCAAGGATGCAACGAGAATGGCTTCTTGCCCCCTCACAAACTCAGCTCATGTCTGTTGCTGTGGATTCAATTCTGGGAGGAGGAGCGTGGTGGGGGCAAGAGGCACAGAGTCACCGCATGGCACCCCAGAGTCAGGTGAAAGCAGGCCAGAGGCGAGCAGCCTGCAGACTCATTTATTTCAGTGGATACAGCAGCTTATATAGCCAAGGCAGCCAATCTAGTCAAGGGGCGGTCTATGCCCTAACCAATAACAGCCTGTTGCCAGGCAGTTTCCAAAGCCATCCAATCACAGCCTGTTGCCAGGCAGGCTCCGCTGTCAAGTGGTTCCCAAAACCATCCAATCACAGCCTGTTGCCAGACAGTTTCTTTGGCCAGTGGCCATCTTGGCATGGCCTTCTCATTCCAGCACATGTCCTCTGCCATCCCCCAGGAGGTCAGCTGAGCCAGTTGGGCTTGGGAACAGCAGAGCAACCACGAGCTGTGCACACACTGGAACAGGGTCGATTCCCATAAGCAAGGTGAGAGCTGATGTTTGTGTGTCACAGCATGTCCACATGGCCCAGGATAGCCTTCTTTCAATTCGTCTCAGACACACAGAAATGTGAAAACACGCTCAGACCATGGGCCATCCACAGAGAGGCTGTAGGCTGGCTGTGGTCCTTGGGCCATGATGTGCTGACCTCTGCTGGGCACGTACCTACGTGAGAGGAAGTGCTGGCTCAGGCCGTGCACAGGACTGCTGTGCCCATCAACACACTCACACACGCATGCACACACATGCAGGCACAGACACACATGCACATACATGCATTTTACACACGCACACATACACACATGCAGACGCATAAACACATGTACACAAGCATGCACACATGTGCAGACACACACATCCATGCACAGAGACACACGGACACATAAATAGATGCGTGCACACACTTGCACACACAAGCACAGATTGCGCACACAGAACACAGAAACGCATACACACAAGCACCCCCAGACGCACTCATACACACATGCAAACAGACATGCATGCAAACAAATGCAGACATACAGGCACACATGCACATGTGTATACACACAGATGCAGATACATACACGAATATACAGAGAAATACACACGTGCACACAGATGCAGACACATACACATATGCACACATACACGTGTGCACACAGCTGCAGACACATGCACACACCTGCACACTGGGAAACACATATACATAAATGCACACAGACCTACAAATGTGCAAACGCACGTGCACACACATCAACAAGACACATTAGAAACAATTCCGTAGGTATCTGGCTTCAAGGGCACAAAAATAAAGAGCCAGTGGTGGAGATGAAAGCTTAGTTGAGAGCCTTCTGGCTCGCGTGGGAGCGGAAGTGCGCTCGGCAGACACTGCCCAGGAGGTGAGCCCTGATGGGGTTTAGCACCTCCCAGGGAACAGAGACCCCGCCCCAAGTCCCTGAGGAGGGGGCTTGGAACCACGAACTCCACAGAGCTCCAGAGAGTGGGTGCTGTGGACAGAAAGCAGTCAGGACCCTCGGCCCTCAGGGAAAAGCTCCGGTCACCACCCCAGCCGGCCACACGCAGGGAGCCTGCACCTGCAGATCTGGAAGCAAAGTCCTGAAAACCCAACACCCACGGCCTTCACGAGAGCACGAGACTGAGTCTGACCGAGTGGGGTGGTAACCTGCAAACCCACAGCGTCCACAGGAGAGCTGCCCCCTGCTGGGCACCCAGCCCCCGGGGGAACTGGGGGAGACCACAGAAGGGCACAGGGCCCCTCCACAGGGAGAAGAACCCACTGCAGCTGAACCCTCAGTGAGAACAACCGACCTCAGGAGGAAACAAAGGCCCCACGATGCAAAGGGAGGCCCGGGTTCAATTCTCGGCTGCAAGTCTGGGCTCCAGCTCCTTGCTCAGGCAGGTCCTGGGGCCATGGTCTCCGGCTTGGCAGCTGGGTTCCTGCCTCCCGGGTGGGGGGCGTGGATAGAGCTCATGGCCCTTTTTGTTGGCCCTGGTTCACCCCAGCTATTAGAGCATTCGGGGAGTGACCCAATGGATAGGGCTGGCTCGCTCGCTCTCTCTCTGCTTCTCACAATTTCAGAATTTGAAAATACAAAATCAGAAACTCGTGCAAAAGCCAGAGGTGACCCCACCCCGGGAGACACCGTGAGGACTTTGGCCTCGTCCTCATGGCGCCAGTGGTTGACTTGAGTTCTGTGGTCGGTGTGTGGAGAGAGTTTGTGTTGGGGGAGCTCGGGGTGAGCCGGTCCCTGTGCCACAGGACAGGAGAAGAAACCCAGTCCCAGGTGTCAACCCCTGGAGCCAGAGTGGCGCTGCCTCAGTCCCCTATAGCGGCCATGTGTGGTCCTTCCCCAGTGAGCCCGTGAAGCTCCTGGTCACAGGTGAGGAAGCCCCCAGTTCCCAGGTCCTCCCTGGGCTCCTAAAGAAACCCCAGGGTCCTGTCGAAGGGACGTCCACCCCAGGGGGCCAGGGAAGGAGAATGGAGGGAGCAGAGGAAGCCCCCAGCCCCAGCCAGTCCTCTTCATCTCCATCTCCAGATGTGGGAGACCCCAGCCTGGAACCCACAGACCCTGCCCCTGCTGCAGGTGAGTAGCTTGCTCCTTCACGCTCAGGAGAGCTGGAGCCTTCCTGTGCGTGCCTGTGGGTGCCGTGGGCTTCCCCGCCTGCACAGTGCAGTGCAGGTGCCCCAGGTGTGGTGGTGTTCAGTGCCCACAAGCCACCGGCAGTGAAACCCACACCCTCCCGCTCATGCTGGTCCATATGCAGAACGCAGGTGCACTAGGGACATGATGAGAAGTTACCCAGAGGCTGATGTCCCCGGGGCCCGTGACACGCAGGGAATCTTGTGTTTAAGACATGGGCACAGTCTCCAGGACACCTCACTGTGTGTATGGGAATATTCTAAATCCCAGCACTAGCCCATCTGGAGCACTTGGGGGCCCTAGCATTTTGGATAAGGGAGGGGCAACCCGTACAGCAGTGTCCATCAACCAGAATAACCTCCTCATCTGTGGGTACAAGTTTCCTGCTTGGAGTGGATGGAACGTCCATGGGTGGATGTCAGGAGAGAGAAATGTGTTATATGAGGGCAGTTCAGAGAGCTCATGGAAAGTTCAGGGGTAAAAGGACTGGGCCATCTTCTGCTGCTTTACCAGGCATATTAACAGGGAGCTGGAGAGAAGTGGAGCAGCGGGGACTCGAACCGGTGCCCATAAGGGGTGCTGGTGCTATAGGCGGAGGCTTTAGCCCATTACACCACAGCGCTGGCCCCATAAACTTCTCTTTTAACTACGTGTCCCGTGAAGTTTTAGAAGTCCCCAGGCGTCTCGCACAAGAAGCAGTGGTGACCTGGAAGGGGGACCCGTGGAGGGCTAAGCAGGGCCGCCTGTCTGGGCACACGCAGGAGACATCTGGGTGAACACTGGCCGACTGAGCCCGTTAGCCCCATGGTTCTCAGAACGAAGAGATTTCCAGAAAGAGAGGGGGCAACCCAGCAGTGCCGGAAGTCAGGAAGGGGACCTGGTGACAAGGGACTGGCCAGGAGGCTGGTGGGCAGGGGGCTGGCTCAGGACACCCAGGGGAGTGCCAGGCTTTGGATTTGACGCCGTGTGTGGAGAAAGACCCGCATGAGGGGGGCGCAGAGCCCCCGTCGTGGTGGGAGGCACAGAGACGCATGCGCAATAGTGCAGCGCCAGCTTCTGCCTGGGGCCTGGGGGCCCCTGCCCGTGGGGTGAGGCCGCTGGGACCCCTGTGAGGCATGGGGTGGAGACTTGGACAGCCGCGGGGTGTGGCGGGGCTGGGCTGAGGAAGGAGAGGCTGGGTGGGCGGAAGCCAAAGCCGACCCTCCCTTCCCACAGCAGGCTCGCGGAAACCCCGTCTCCGAAACCACAGTGTCCAGAGTCCAGGACGGTGAGTAGCCGGGCTCGCGCGGGGTGGGGGCAGGAGGAAGGTCTGGGAGGTGAGGGGAGAGGAGCGGGTGGGTGTAGTGCCTGCACCTCGGCAGCAGCCTCTCTGCCCCAGCCCCAGCCTCCTGGGATCACACCCCGGTGGGGTCTCACCGACAGTGGTATGGTACCACCAACGTGAGTGGGGTCTCAGCGTCCTGGCTGGGGTCCTACTGTTGTAGGTTTGGTGTCACTGACCTGGTGGGAGGGGTCTCACCATAGTGGGTGGGGTCCCACTGACCTGGGTGGGGTCTAACTACCCCAGGTGGGGTGTCACTGACGTGGGTGGGAAGGGTCTCACCATAGTGGGTGGGGTTTCACCATCCCGGGTGGGGTCTCACTATCTTGGTGGGGTCTCCCCGATATGGTTGGGGTGTCACCGACCTGTGTGGGAGAGGTCTCACCGATGTGGGTGGGGTCTCACTGCCCCAGGTGCGATCTCACTGGTTGAATCCCTAGTGACAGAGAGACTGGCAGACTCAGGGGGTGGGGTGAGGGTGGGGGCAGATGGGCCGCTTGGGGAGGGGGGCTCCTGTGCTGGATGCAGACGCTCTCAGAGTGGGCGGGGGCGGTGGAGCTGTGCTGTGAACGCCTAATGTCCACTGTTCACCTTGAAGCCCTGAGTGTGGCGAATCTCCTGTTCTGTTTTGCCACAAAACCTGTCTCCAACAGTGACCCCCTAGGGAGCAGAAGTGTCCCTGGTTGAGGACCACTGTCACATTCTGTAACAGGGTTTCTGGAACCTTCCGTGTGGTGTGGTTTTGGCCAGGGCCTTCTGTGCACTGAGGCGTGGGGAGCAGCAGCCCACTAGCACCCCCAAGCACCACCCGGTGTCCCACAGGTGGCAAAGACCACCCCTGCTGAGCCCACGGACCCGAAGCGTCCCGGCCCGTATGCTGTTTTGCTCCAGATTCCAAAGGCTTCTTTCGGTCTTGCAAAGACAAGCCGTGGGCACAGGATCTGGGGAGCACTGGTTTCCTGGTCTGCCCCAGAGCCGCCCCGTGGACAGCCACTGAGTCCTCCCTCCCTGTGCCTCCCTGTCACCCGGATATGATCGCTGGTGGGGGATTTTAATTAACCTCCGGTGCTCACAGGGTCAGATGCTTCCGGTTCCCACTGCCAGGCCTTTGCGTGCAGGGAGCCATGGCAGCAGGGAGCACACAGGGTCCTCCCTGAGAGGACCCTCCCTCTGGCCAAGGCCATTCTCTCTGAGCACGACCACGGGGCTGATCCCACCCAGAATGAAGGGCAAAGGCCCAGCTGGAGGCGGCGGGTTCTGGCCCTGCCACACGGAGCGGCAGCAGCAGGTGGCTCTGCAGTGGCCCCAGGCTGTGTCTGCAGGCACGCGGTGGGCGTGGACACCAGACGATAAACTGTGAGCCGTGCGGCCCAGCCTTAGCCTCCATGACTGGCACCTGAGTGCCTCCGGCAGCTCGAGGCTGAGCGAGGGCAGCCCCTCCTCCCAAATCACTGGGGTGGGGTGGGCAGGTCTCCACGGGGGGCCCAAGGGATGCTGACAGCGTGGCGGACCTGCTCTGTGGGTCAGCACTGTGCAGGGTAGGTTCTATGGGATATAAGTTATATTTAATGAAGCGCCTTAGAAAATATTAGAAGGGAAAGAACATTGCATAGAGCCGCTGGCAGCCTCCTCTCCAAACCGGCGCTTACAAAGGGCAGTTCTGCTCCAAGACCCAGAAAATCCTCCCAGAAACCCCAGAGTGAACATGGACGCCCAGAAACGCCCACACCAACCACGCTCAACTTAGAAGACAAACTTCCTTCGGGTTAGGATTGACTTCCGGCCTGTGCATGGTTGGGCCAAAGGAAGTGGACTTCCCCCGAGCTCTGTGATTGGCTCCCAGGATGCAGCAGGGGGCAGGACTTCCTGCTCAGGGGCCGAATGAGCTCGTCCCATCTTTAACAGGAGGTGGGCTCAGCCGTTGCTATGAGACCTGCTGACAGCACCTGGCCTGCCCTCAGACAAAGCCTTCCTAGTTCGGGGTGGGGCTGAGGTACAACCCCACCCCCAGGCCGCCCGGGGTATTGTGGGTATATGCCGACATGGTGCCACGGTAGCCAATGGGCGCTCGGCTCTCAGTGACTCTGTCTCCCGCACCCTGTGGTTTCTGAGGCGCTGGGAGGAACCTTTCGCTCACCGGGTGGCGTCTGCTTCTCGGAGTCTGGGACAGCTCCAGAGCCGGCGGGGGAGAGGCCGTCTCCTCGTCTCCCACGCGGGAGAGGTTGACGGCGGGGTCTGCAAAGCCTGAGGAGCCACGGCACGCTGGGCCCTCCTTGCTCGCGCGTGGACCTTCCAGCCCCGACCTCCGAGAGGGCACAGAGGCTGGGGTGGTCACAACGCGCCCACCGCAGGAAGCGCCTGGGGAAATCCAGGCCAGGACTCGGGGGCACTCCAGGCCGTGGAAAGGCGCGCACGTGGGTGCAGGAGGGCAGCACCGCCCCAGAAGCCCCCCAAGCTCAGGACCCTCCCGATGGGCAAGCAGGAAGCCAGGAACTGGGCCCGCATCCTGGTCCACAGTGACCCCCATTGGCCCTCCCGCAAGGCTCCCTCCCCATTTGCACCTGTATCGCCCTCCTCTCAGGCTGGTGGCCGAGCAGGGCTGGGCCTCACCCACTCCCTGGAGGCTGCGTGCTTCTCCGAGCTCAGGGCGCAGCAGGAGAGCTGCATCTCAGGTTCGTGGTCGTGTCCTCAGAACCGTCTGCTCTGAGCCTCTCTCATCTACACAGAGTGAGAAGGAGCAGGCTGCCCTGGCCAAGGCCACCGGCACTCCCTCCTCCTGCTCACAGGATCCGGGTCACTTTGCACCTGTGACCTGCATGTTGGGAGGAGGGTGGAGACACAGAGGCAGCCCCTGGGGAGTGAATGGCCAGTGTGGAGCCACCGTGGGGCGTGCTGTCTGGGCCTTGCTTGTTTGGGGTTAGCCTGCACCCTCCTGGGGAGTGTTCCTGGGTGGTAGCTTTATGAGCCTTGAGTGGTTAAAGAATGTGGGGCCTGGAGACGGGGTCGTGGCCCAGGTTAAAGCCGTCACCTGTGATACCAGCGCCCCATAGTGCAGCACCAGTAGGAGTCTCAGCCTCTCTGCCTGCAGTCCAGCTCCCTGCTATGCAGCTGGGGGAAGCAGCAGAGGATGGCCCAAGTGCTGGGGCTCCTGCACCCACGTAGCAGACCCGGAAGAAGCTCCCGGCTCCTGGCTTCCGGTCAGTTGGATCTGAAGTGGAGCAGCCGGGACCCCTCCTGGAGCTCTTGTACAGGATGCTGGTGTTGTGGGCGGCGGCTTCACCTGTTGCATCCCAGCAGCAGCCCCTTGATCTCAGCGCCCAGAATGGGACTGGGGAGTCCGAGCGTGGTCCCACTTAAATTCTTGCAGGAAGCTGCAAGTTCTTTCCCTTAGCAGCTGCGCCATCCCAGGTCCCCTCAGCAGTGCCCGAGGCTTCCCTCTCCTCCACACCAACGCTGGCACCCATGTCCTCGCCCATGGCAGCCCTCCTGCCGGTTGGGACTCAGTGGCTCCCCTGGAGCTGGCATCCTCTCCCTCCTTGTGGGCGCTTGATTCTGTGTGAGAGATGCCCGTCCAGTCCCACTCCTCTCTGTAGCAGGGTCGGTTCTCTATGTGAGAGATGCCCATCCGGTCCCGCTCCCCTCTGTAGCAGGGTCTGTTCTCTGCGTGCAGCAACGAAACCCTGCCTGTGCACACACAGGGTGACCTCAGGGACGCAGGTCGTCACAGGAAGAGCGAACACCTCAGGATTCAGAGAACTGAAAATGAAACAAAAAAATGACCTACATGAAGGATCTCTGTGGGTGAGATCCTGGTGGAAAGAAGGGGCCATCTAAGAAGGATGCGCCTTTCTCTGAAGGGAGGAGAGAACTCCCACTTTGCTCATGGCCCTGTCTAAATACAGACCGTTTTTGCAGACTCAAAAGGCTTTCTTTAAATAAAAAAGAAAGATTATTTATTTATTTGAAAGTCAGAGTTACATGGATATTGAAGGAGAGGCAGAGAGAGAGAGGTCTTCCATCCACTGGTTCCCAATTCGCTGCAATGGCTGGAGCTGCACTGATCTGAAAATCAAGAGCCAGGTTCTTCTTCCGGGTCTCCCATGCAAGTGCAGGGCCCAAGGACTTGGGCCATCTTCTGCTGCTTTCCCCCGCCATGGCAGAGAGCCGGATCAGAAGTGGAGTAACCGGGACTCGAACTAACGCCTATATGGAATGCCGGCACTGCAGGCAGTGGCCTAACCCACTATGCCACAGTGCTGGCCTCCAAAAGGCTCTCATAGCCAAGGCAGCTCATGTCAACAGCCCCGGATGATCACTGACATCATACATAAGAGTGTTAATTGTTAAATCAACAACAGGAATCACTGTGCACTAACTCCCCATGCAGGACCTCTGATCTTCATGAGTTGTATTATAAGAATTAACTGTAAAACTAGTTCTCCACACTGTGTGTGCATGTGTGTGTGTGTGCAAATTGTTGAAATATTTACTTAGTATAGAGTTGGTCTTAGTATAAAATTGATTGAAGGGGCTGGTGCTGTGGCACAGCAGTTTAACGCCCTGGCCTGAAACGCTGGCATCCTATATGGGCTCCGGTTCGAGTTCCGGCTGCTCCACTTCTGATCCAGCTCTCTGCTATGGCCTGGGAAAGCAGTAGAAGATGACCCATGTCCTGGGACCCTGAACTTATTTGGGAGACCTAGGGCAAGCTCCTGGCTCCTTGCTGCATATCCATGCAGCTCCAGCTCTTGTGGCCAATTGGAGAGTGAACCAGTGGATGGAAGACTTCTCTCTCTCTGTCTCTCTCTGCTTCTCCTTCTCTCTCTGTGTAACTCTGACTTTCAACTAAATACATAAATCTTTAAAAAAATAAATTTGATAGAAAATGAATCTTAGTGGAGAATGGGACTGGGAGTGGGAGAGGGTAGAGGAGGAGGAGTGAGAGTGTGGGAAGAATGTATTCCTAAAGTTGTACTTATGAAATTTGTATTCATTAAATGAAAGGTTTCTTTGGGAGAAAAATAATAATTGAACCTGGGCTGGCGTTGTGACTCACTGAGTGAAGGTGCTGCCTGAGACACCAGCATCCCACACGGGAGCACGGGTTCGAGTCCCAGCTGCTCCACAGCAATCCAGTTCCCAGCTGATGCACTTGAGAAGCAGCAGGAGAAGTCCACGTGCGTGGGCACCTGCACCCATGTGGAAACCTGGATGGAGTTCCAAGCCCCTGACTTCAGCTTGGTCTACCATAACCACTGCAGCCATCTGGGGAGTGGACCAGTGGACGGAAGACATATCCCCCCCCCCTTCCCCGGTAATTCTGCCTTTCAAAAATATAGATAAATAAATCTTTAATAAATAAATAAAAGGAACCGAACTATGGCAACAGGGAGTTGTAGCAAATCCATCCACGTGTCCTGTACTGGTGAGGATCGGCTCTAGGAACCCTGTACCGGGTGAGTCTGGTCATGGGACATCAAGGAGTCCCAGCACACACCTGCATGATGGCGCCTACTTCACTCTGGGCTCTGAACTCCGCCGTTCACTCCTGGGCTGGGAACGGCAGAGCTCGCTGCTGTATTCCTATGAGAATATCCACCGGGGGCCGGGCGTCCTCCTGCAGTGGTGCAGACCTGCGTATCTAGGACTCTGCCCCCAGAAGCCGTGCAGCAAGAGTGCGATGAGGTCGGCAGCTGTCAGCTTCATTAGAATGTTGGGGGCGCCGGCGTACAGGCGACTGTGGCTGACCAAAACGTGCCCTGACACCTGACGACGCCGTGACTCGGGAATCCAACATTCTCCCTCAGTCTAAACGCCAGGCTGCAAAGCTTCATGGGAATTCCTCCCACACATTTATTCAGGTAGGAAACACACATACACATGCATGCCCACACACTCCCAAATTTACATACACTGTTCCCGAGGACAGGAAAAAGAATGTTTTATCAGGCAAGGAGAAAGTGCTATCAAAACCAGAGACGGAAACAGTCATATGGGGAAATCCTGTGTCGGATGCTCCCGTAAACTTAGACTCCCAAGAAAACGCTCACAAAGAACACTCGTTCCTATGAGAAGAGAGAATGCAGGGGACATGACCACACCGGTTGGTTGGTGGTGGTGAAGGCAGGCACCGGTCGCTTGATACTAAAGAATCGATGGTGTTCAATACATTACCAGAAGTCACAGCTCATCAGACACAGACAGAGCTGTTTTTGTCTGAGTGATTTTGCATCCACCTCTCAGTCATCACATCTTCTCTCCGGAACGTCAATTCAAGTCCTTTGCCCACTGCTCAAATGGGGCTTTTGTGTTTCCATGTAAATCATGAGTTTTGTTTCACTCCAGGCTGCTGGAGGTCTGGGCTCTGCTAAGTGGAGCTGTGTGGATCTCCCTTGGAGCGCTGACGGGAGTTCGTGTGTGGACCGCGATCCTGCGACCTGACGGTGACCAGTGAGGGCAGTTTCTGGTTGAGACGTTGGGTTGTCTTTAGGTAAGATGACGTCATCAGCAAAGAGAGGTAGTCTTAGGTAAGATGGCGTCATCAGGAGAGAGCCGACGTGGCTTCTTCCTTCCATAATCGGACGCTTCTGCGGCTTCTTCTCGCCCACCTGCTCTGGCGAGGACTTGCAGGGCCGCGCAGAGCAGCAGTCAGGGCTCACGTTTCCTACAAGGACCCGCACTCTTGCTCCACGGAGACAGCGGCAAAGCAGCGAGCACTCCCCTCAGTGACGTCTGAGCACAGCATGTCGGCGTGCGCCTGCGCACACACGTGTCGTCGTGTGTGCAGTATCGTGTCATCATGCGCGTGCGCAGTCTTGTCTTGTGCGCATGTACAGTCACGTGTCGGGCTGTGTCCCCGAGGCCAGTGGTGGTGTGCGCCTGCGCAATCCCTTGTTGACATGCGCATGCGCAGTCCAGAGTCGGTGTGCGTGTGCGCGAGGCCGCCTCAGGTGAGTCCGTGTCCGCCCACACGGGGAAGCTGAGGCTCAGGGCAGAGGGGTGTGTGAGGGGACGCAGTGAGGGCGCCTCCCCCGGGAGTCAGGGCAGGCGGCAGGGAGGGGGCGGCGCAGGTCCTGGGAGGCCTCAGGGCCCCGCAGCGGGTGGTCGGGTCAGGGAAGCTGTGGCTGAGGGGCGTGGGAGCGGCGTCCGCGGCGGAGGGGGCGTCCGGGCCTCCCCCGCCCTGGGTCAGGCCCCGGGACCTCCGGGCCGGGCGGGAGCGGGGCTGTGCCCACCTGCGTCCTCCGGAAGTGGCCGGGCTGCGACCCCACAGGAGGGGCTGAGGGCGGGGACGACCCCACCCCGGGGCGCATCAGCCCACCTGAGGGGCGGCTCCGGGAGGCCCGTGTCCTTGGTGCTGGGTCCTGGCCCTGGGAGAGGAGGGCGGAGCCGGCTGACAGGGCGGGGCGGGGCCCCATCCCTGCAGGGCGTCTGTGCCCCCATCCTGGGGACTGAGGGCCTGGCTGGGGTGGGGCGGTGCCCCTTCCTGTGGGGTGTGGACGGAACAGCCCTGCGATGCTGGGAGGACCCGGCCTCCGAGCGTCCACACCCGGTGTGTGTCCGTGCCGCAGGCGCTGTGCCAGAGCCGGCGAAGAGGCCGCCATGACCCCGCCCTCGTGGTCCTGCTCTGCCTGGGGGAGACGGGAAGACGGGGAGGGGAGACCCTGCTCTGGGAGGGACCCCGCCCCCACCCACAGCCAGGCCCTGCTCCCTGGAGACCCCAGGCTCAGGCGCCCCGGGGAGGAGAGGACCTGCGCAGGGGCAGGGGAAACCCTCTCACGGGGAGCTCTCCTCCAGGGCTGTGCGGGCCCAGGACCAGAGTGCAGGCAGGTGAGCGTGCCCCCACTGTGCAGGGTACCCCCCCATAGGACAAGGGCCACCCCGGGCAGCTGGAGTGGGGACAGCAGCCCTGTCTGGTGAGGAGGGCGTCTGGGAGGGTCCTGGCCTGCGAGGGGACGTGGTCCTGGGACCCAGCCTCTGGTTTCCTTCCAGGGACCCTCCCCAGACCCAGCGTCCGGGCTGAGCCAGGCTCTGTGATCGCCCTGGGCAGGCCTGGGGCCCTGTGGTGTTGGGGACCCTGGAGGCCCAGGAGTGCCGTCTGTATAGAGAGGGAATCCCAGAGCCCTGGGACAGAGCGATGCCCCTGGAGCCCGGAAACAAGGTCAAGTTCCCCACCCTCTCATGGCCGAGGTGTACGCAGGGCGCTACCGCTGTGTCTGCCTCAGCGCTGCTGGCTGCTCAGAGCCCAGTGCCGCCCTGGAGCTGGGGTGACAGTGAGGAAGCCACACCCGAGCAGGAGCTGGGTAGGTCACGGGGACGCTGAGAGGAGGGTAGATGGGAATTGGGTGCGGGGCCTGGGCTCCTGAGCCAGACACCCAGAGTGAGGGTGGTGGGACTGCAGGGCAGGAGGGAGAAGGGTGTGGGCGGAGCCAGGGTGCAGCCCCGCCCCTCTTCCCTCCTGACGCAGCAGGCCCTCGGTGGTCCCTGCAGATGGCCTGACGGGGTCACACAGGGACTCGGGGTCTGCCCAGCCCCCTGTCCATCTGCCCCAGGCCAGGCTCTCACAGGGGCTGGGGTAGATGCAGCACTGGACAGGACCCGCCCAGGATGGGCTCACACCCCGGGGACTGTGGGCCTCTAGACCAGGACTGAGTCTGCTCAGGGAAATGAGCCCTTGCCGTGGCCCAGGGTGGGCCCCGGAACTGCTCCTGTAGGGAGAAGCTCGCCAGGCTGTGGGTGCTGCGCGGCCCGGCCCCTGCAGAGCTCCGTTGCGGCCCCGGAGCACAGGGCAGCCCGACAGACCCGGAGGCAGCTTACCCAAGAGCCATGCTGAGCTGCATCGCGAGACGGGGGGCCGGGAAGCACTGAGTATGGACCAGGCCGGGGTCTCCTTCTCCTCACTATCCCGTCCCTGTTCTCAGGGGGACCGGAGCCCAGCAGCCCCTCGCACCCCCAACCAGGCTCCCCCGCTGGTGAGTGAGCTACAGGCTGGACTCAGGGCTCAGGACTCAGGCTGCTGCGGGGAGGTGGGGTCCTGGGTGACTGGGTCTGCCCCTCCTCGGTGACCCCTCCGTGCACGCCCCCAGCCCCAGCGCCCCAGGACCACACCCTGGAGAACCTCATCAGCATGTGTGTGGCCGGCTTGGTCCTGCTGGGCCTCGGGCTTCTGCTGGCGGAGGCTTGGTACAGCCACAGAAGGACCCGAGCTGCAGGCCAGCGATGACCTGGAGAGAGGACAGTGCTGGGTCAGAGAGGCTGTGCCCCGGGGGCGGGGGAGGTGGGAGGCCGGAGGCCGGGCATGGCTGGTGAGAAGCTGCTGGGAAGTGGGCGGAGCTCACCTGGGGTTGCAGGAATCCTGCTCAGGGGCAGGGACCCGGGTGGACCGCTGGCGGTGCTGCTTCCCCGGGCTCCCACGCGCATTCTGGGAAGGGGCCCCGGCCTCCCGCAGCCCTGCCCACCGCCCTGCAGGCTCCCGTGTGGTTCTGTGCTGTTCCTCTCCAGGGACCGCACACAGCTCAGTGGCCCTGAGTGTCCACAGGAGCGGGGTCGAACGGCCCATCGATAGGGCAACGCCGGGATTCGCTCCCCTTGACCTTCAGCAAGTGGGCAGGACGTGGGCCGGACACCTGTCACTCAAGATGGATTTACCATTCCACTCACCAAAAGGAGGCGATGACATGTGGGGTCAGATATGGGAGCTCACAATTAATGGATCTGGGCTGGCTCTGTGGTGTAGTGGGTAAAAGCTGCCACCTGCGGTGCCGGCATCCCCTGTGGGCACCGGTTCGACACTCAGCTGCTCCACTTCTGATCCAGCTCTCTGCTATGGCCTGGGAAAGCAGCAGAAGATGGCCCAAGTCCTTGAGCCCCAGCATCCATGTGGGACACTCAGATGAAACTCGGGGCTCCTGGCTGGGGATCAGCCGAGCTCCGGCTGTGAGGGCCCATTGGGACTGAACCAGCAGATGGATACCTCTCTCACTCCTTCTCTATGTAACTCTGACTTTCAAATAAATATTTTAAAAAACTTGTGGCTCATCAAACTCTAAGGTAAAATCCCAGATGACTGTGGGACTCTGTCCTCCGAGAGGACCACTCAGAAGAGAAAGACTGAAAGTGTGTGCAGGGTTTCTTCCGGCACGGAACGTTCAAGGTCACCTGGATTTCTCAGTGCTCGCCTAACATAAACCCCACAACACAGTTGGCTCTGGTGGACGGCAGCACCCGGTGTTCTGGAAGAGTGCGGATGCCTGCCCGGCTTCTTCTGGTGGCTGATTACTCTGCTTGTCTGTGCGGTGCAAGTCTGCGTTTCCCACAGAGTTCAGTGAGGCGGGTGGAGGGTGCGCCTGGATACTTCTCCCGTGTTTCCAGTTATGGGCTGGGGACTCCACCCCACCACAGCGTAGCTTAGGGGGTAAAGCCAACACCAGCAGTGCCGGCATCACATATGGTATGGCCAAGTTGGAGTCCCGGCTGCTCCACTTCTGATCCAGCTCCCTGCTAATGCGCCTGGGAAAGCAGTAGAGAATGACCCAAGTGCTTGGGTCCTTGCACCCACGTGGGAGACCCAGAAGCTCCTGCCTGGCTCCTGGCTTCAGCCTCGCCCAGCCATATGGGGAGCGAGCCATTGGATGGGAAACCTCTGCCTCTGATTCTCCTCTCTCTACATCTCTCCCTCTGAGATAAATAAATCAGTCTTTAAAAAAAATTTTAAGCACTCCTAGAAGGAAATACCTGGCTAAATATGACCTCAGATTTCATCACAGTGTCTTAGCTGTGATTCCGAAAGTACAAGGAACAAATGGGAAAATGGCTGATTTGATCATCCCCAAAACTTCAGAAGTCTGTGCACCATGGACAGCTATCAAGGGAACAGAAAGACAACGAACACATTGTGTAAAGATCTGGAAGCCACAACAGGAAAAGCAAGGGTGCAACTCAGTGCAAGAGAAGGGAAGTGAAAATAATGCCACAGAGAGGCACCCCACGCCCACCACACTGGTCACTTCTCGAAGACAAAGCAGGCAGAGTGTGGTCAGGGTGTGGGGAAATCGCAGCCCTGAGACGCAGCTGGAATGTGCAGGGTTCGGCCACTGCTGCAAGAGACTTGTAGTTCCTCAAAGCACCAGACCCAGCCTCGGCACAGCACAGAGCAACCCAACCCCCGCACGGAGTCAGGCGCTCCCTTTGACCAACGTCCTGGCAAGGGTCAGGGTCAGGTGCAGCGCTCACCAGTGTGCTGAGTGCAGGCTCTGTGGAGCGTTCTCACCACCGAGGGCCAGGGAGAGGCTCTGACAACCATCCAGGGACTGTGCACACAGGCATCCATCCAAGCATGGCCGGCCAGGGACAGGAGCCAGATGTGCACCGGGGATGCGGGGCTCGGGGTGGTGGGTCCCTGGCTCCGTGGGAACTCTGCAGAGCCCCAGGAAGCTGTAAAGTGACGATGCGTGTGGCAGGAGGTGCAGCCACACACAAACGGCCCCACATAGCACCGTTCCCAGAAACACCCAGGGCTGGGAGCCCACAGAGCCCTGGGGCTAGGCAGGGCTGGCGGGGCTGATGGCTGCATGGTGTGGGGCTTCCTCCTGGGGTGAGGCCAGAGCAGGTCATTGAATGTCTGGGGCTTTACCGTGAACGCCACTGAGTGCACGCTTTGCCAGCTCCTGTTTCTGGGAGGGGGACTTCCTCTCTACCTGATGCAGGCTAAGGAAAGGACAGATGCCTGCGGGTGCCTTTGTAACCCGAGGCTGTGACGAGCCGCCATAGTTCTCTCCTGGGTCCCCATCCCAGAGCAGGCAGCTGAGAGCCTGCCCTCTGACCTCCACCCCAAACACGGCTGAGGATGGGGTCTTCCATTCTATCTGGGACCCGGGACAACTTCTGATTCACCTCTGGGGTCAGCAGGCGCTCCTAGGGACTTCTGAGGAGGGGTGCCTACCAGAACGGTGCTGTCCCCACGTCTGAATCTGGAAGGGACACTGCAGGACCCTGAGACTGGAGTGCTACGGCCACAGCCACCCAGAGGGGAGGTCTCGGGCATCCCCCCACCACAGAGACGCTGGGGGACGACGTCACCTGTTCAGGTCGCTCAGGAAGTGGCACCCCCATGTCATCCAGGAGCACAGAGCCCAGGTGCTCAGATTAGGGGAGGAGAGGCCGTGGGGGCTCAGGAAGCAGGTGCCGGGAATCCCCAGCCCCACGTAAGTGTGTATCTGCACACGGGCCCAGTGCCCTGCTCCCAGTCCCCTCTACCTAATGAGAAACCCGGTACAGTGCAGGCAGCACAGGGTGTGCGGCACTGGACCCCGGCTGGGCTGGTCAGGGCACCACCATATTCTCAGTTCCTCGGGTAGCTTGGGGCCTCTGCCCTCAGACACCCTCCCCTCCTCACAGCTGCTTGCCAGGCCCTGGGCCCACCAGCCCTCAGCAGGACCCCGCCCCAAAGCCGGGTCCTCTTTGTGGGCCCTCCTGCACCTGCCACAGCCACAGCTGGGCTGCAGCTCAGCCACACCTCTGCAGCGTCTGTACCTTCTTCATGCCCTCCTGTCAGCGCCAAAGGCCTGGAAGATTCCGTCACCCTCCCCACGGGATCCAGCCCTCCCCCTCCCCTCCCCTCCCCCACCCCAGCCCCCACACCTGCACTCAGCAGCTCAGGAAGGGGAGTGCCTGCCTTGGCCACCCCCCCTGTGCAGGGAGAACCAGAACCCTAACCGGGCAGCTCCTGGGCCCCGCCCATGAGGGGCACCCCCTGGGTGGAACTGGAGTGGGCAGGGGGGCCGGAGGCCAGGCAGGCACAGCGCAGGGGGCAGCGGTGGTGGAGGCCTGGTCCCATGGTCCCCAAAGCCTTTTCTGTCCTGGGCCCCGTCCTCAGGGACAGCAGGGGAGGGGCTGCACCCTTCCTGTGAGGCCACAGATGAGGAACCCGTGACTTCTCCCCGCTCATCTCCAGCCGGACTCTGGGCCTGCGCCCCTCACAGCTGCTCTGCTCCACAGGGACCATGGGCGCCGGGGCGCAGACCCCGGCCCTCACTGCCCTCCTCTGCCTGGGTGAGCTGGGGACACGGGGACCCCTCACAGGTGGGGGGGGACAGTGCCTTGCCCCAGCTGGGACCCCAGGGCTCAGAGGACCAGGGAAGGCCTGGTCATCTCTGCAGGGGTGGGGAGTGGGGAGCAGCTCTCACGGGGACCTCTCTTCCAGGGCTGTGCCGGGTGCCAGGGGATAAGGCACAGGCGGGTGAGTCCTCCCCTGACCTGGCTCAGCCCAGGGGCCCAGGCAGCTCAGGGTTAAGGAGCCCAGGGGGGCTGGGCTGATGGTGATGGCTGGGAGGGGCTGGGAGTGGAGCTGGGGAATGGGGCGGGGGAGGGGCGGCACCCTGGGGTCTGCAGCTCTGATTCCCTTCTAGGGACCCTCCCCAAGCCCTCCATCTGGGCCGACCCAGGCCCCCTGGTCGCCGTGGGGAGCCCTGTGACCCTCTGGTGCCAGGGGTCTCTGCAGGCTGAGGTGTATCGTGTGTATAAAGAGGGCAGCCCTCAGCCCTGGGAAGTGCGGGCCCAGCAGGACTCCAGACACAAGGCTGACTTCCCCATCACCATGTCCATGAGCTCCTACCACACAGGGCAGTACTGGTGTGTGTATCAGACCCCGCTCGGCCTCTCCCAGCCCAGTGAGCCCCTGACCCTGGTGCTGACAGGTAAGGGGTGTCCCCTGCCTAGAGTGGCTCCAGGTCACAGAAGGAAGCCAAGTGGGTGCATGGGACAGCAGCCACCCACCCTAAATGGCTCTGCTCTCTCCTGCAGGGATGTTCCCGGCACCCTCCCTGTCAGCCCAGCCAAGCCCCGTGGTGGCGTCAGGAGGGAACGTGTCCCTCTCCTGTGGCTCACATAGGGTGGGCACTGCCCATCTGCTGAAGGAGGGTGGAGCTGGCCCCCTGCATAGCCCAGAAGCCAGGTTCTCCCGTGGGGCTGGGGTGTGGCAGGCCACCTTCCTCCTGGGCCCCGTGGACAGCACCCACGGGGGCATTTACAGGTGCTACCGCGCTGACACCAACTACCCCCACGTGTGGTCCCTGCCCAGTGATTCCCTGGAGCTCCAGGTCACAGGTGAAGGGCCCAGTGCCCAGGGAGCCTGGGTGGTTCGGGGATTTGGGAACTCTGACCCCGTGGGGGCGGTGAAAGGCTGCAGACCCTGCCCTCCTCGCCCCAACCCCTCTCAGGGCTGCACAGGGAGCCCTCCCTCTCGGCCCTGCCGGCCTCACTGCTGCTCCTGGGACAGACCCTGACCCTGCGGTGTCACTGTGAGCCCAGCTGTGACAGATACGCGCTGACCAGGCCCGAGGGGGACACGTCCCCCCAGCACCTTGCCGGGCAGCCCAGCCCCGACTTCCTCCTGGGCCCCGTGAGCGGCTCCCACGGGGGCCGGTACAGGTGCTACGGTGGACGCCAGGGCCCCTACGCATGGTCGGCCCCCAGCAACCCCCTGGACGTGCTGGTTGCAGGTGGGGAGCCCCTGCCCACCACGTCCTATCCCTGGGACACAGACCCCAGGAGACCCATGCTGCCCTGAGGGGAGGGAGGGGCTGCTCCCTCCACACTCCGTCCTCTCTCCCAGGAATGTACAGGAAACCCTCCCTGCAGGCCCAGCCGGGGCCCTCAGTGCCCTGGGGAGCAATGGTGGCCCTGCGCTGTGGCTCCCAGGAGGCGATGGACACCTTTCTCCTGCACAGGGAGGGCTCGGGCGCCCCTCCCCAGCATCTGCGTGTCCCAGGCCAGGAAATAGCTGCTCAGTCCATGTTCACGCTGGGGCCTGTGACCTCAGCCCACAGAGGGACCTACAGGTGCTATGGTGCCCACAGCACCAACCCCTACCTGTGGTCATGGCCCAGTGACCCCCTGCAGGTCGAGGTGTCAGGTGAGGACCCCAGCCCTCCCGGTCATCCTGGTCAGTGTAGGGCTGTCCCCAGGAGAGGGCTGGCCTGGGGGAGGGGACCTGGGGGTGGTCACCAGGGAGTGGGTAACAGCAGAAGACTCCAAACACAGGGACCAAGTCACCCACTGTGGCGCTGGGGGCTGGATGGTTCTGCTGGTAGGGGTCCTCCCCCTGAGCCTGAATGGTCAGGCTGAGGCAGAGGGGGTGCTGGGCCCAGCCTGGGAGAGGAGGCAGCAGGCTGAGTGGGGAGCATGGCAGCCCCAGGCCTCACCGCCTGTCCTCACCCCAGGAGGCCCTGAGGGTCAGCCGCTCACTACCATGGAGCCCGCCCCACTGAGCGGAGAGTGGGGGGCTGTCCTAGGAGGAGGGGCTCCGCTGTGCCTGACCTTGAGGTGCGGAGGCCTCTCTCTGCACCTGCTTCTCCACTCACCCGAGGAGGAGCAGCCTGGAGCACCTGGGGAGGGGGCACACACAGGGGAGCTCCTCCTGCCAGCAGCTCCGTGGACTTTTGGGAGCGCGAGCCTTAGGAGCTGCAGTTTGTGGGCTCCAAACCAGGTGTGGAGCTGGCCGCCTGCTGCCCCAGGCTGTGGGCTCACTGAGAATGGGGAAGGCCTGGATGGGGACTCCTTCGGGTCCAGGTCCCTGGGGAGAGGGGAGGGGTGGCCGTGTGGGCTGTGAGGTGGTGGCAGCTCAGGGGGTGAATGCAGAGACCCAGCGTGTGCCTGGGGCACAGCAGTGCTCAGTGCACGGTGGTTTCCCACTCACAAGGGCACCTGGACACAGGAGACGCCCTCCCTGCCCTGCGCCTCAGGTCAGAGAACTGGCAGAGCCAGGCCCAGTTCTGCGCTAGTTCTGCGCCCTCATCCGGGGAGGGGTGGGGACCTGCAGGTGCAATGGCTCCCAAGCCCCGCCCCCTGTGACAACCCTCAGGGCGGTCTGGGCCCCTTATTCTCCTGAAGAGCAGCTCAGTGGAGGAGCAGCAGTGGAGCGTTTGTTCCTGTGGGGACTCCTTCCCCTGGCCCTGGTTGGGCTCTGATTTCCTGACAAAGTTCCCATCAGCCCAGAGGGAAGGGAAATCTCACTTCCTGGCTTCCCGATCCCTGGGCAGCCTGGCCTGTTTCAGTATGCGCACGTCTGTAGCTGCGTCCCTGCACAGTGCCCACTGTGATGTGTGCTGTCTGTGTCCATGTTCGCTATGAGTTGTGTCCCTGAGCTTGTAACTACCGATAGTCACCGACCTCTACACTGTGCCCTGGTTGTTCCAGGTCTTCTCACTCAGGAATACTGATTGTGGAACACAGTGGAGCACCACCGCTTAGGAAACACTGTGTGTGTGTGTGTGTGTGTGTGTGTGTGTCCCATGGTGGCTGTGTCAAGATAATGAAGACTTAGTTGACCACAGATAAAGAGGACAGAGCAGCGGGTGCACAGGCTGAGGTGTGGGGGAGGGGAGGCTACCCTGGACGTTGCCCTTCTGTGTCTCTGACACTCAGGAGCCCCTGATGGCCTCCACCAGCGGTGGTCCCAGGTCCTCAGTGCTGAGTCCATGGGGAGGGTGGGGTCTCCTCCTCCTCACCGTCCCGTCCCTGTTCTCAGGAGGACCGGAGCCCAGCAGCCCCTCGCACCCCCAGTCAGGCTCCCCCACTGGTGAGTGAGCTACAGGCCGGACCCAGGGCTCAGGCTGCTGCAGGGAGGTGGACTCCGGTGAGCCAGCCTAGGTGACCCCTCCGTGTACGCCCCCAGCCCCAGCGCCCGAGGACCACACCCTGGAGAACCTCATCCGCATAGGCGTGGCGGGCTTGGTCCTGCTGGGCATTGGGCTTCTGCTGGCAGATGCTTGGTACAGCCACAAGAGGACCCGGGCTGCAGGCCAGCAGTGACCTGGAGAGAGGACAGCCTGGGTCAGAGGCTGCTCCCTGGGGGCGGGGAGGGGGGAGTCGGGTGCACAGTGGGGAACCGTCCCCCACGGTGTGGGTGCTGGGATCTGTCTGGGGGCATCAGGGGCTCTCTATTCAGCTGTGGACTTCTGCCCTGTGGCTGTGCCCTGTCCCGCCTGGCTCTCCGGTGGGACTGCGCCACCTGCAGGCCGCATGTGGACCCGCACCCACTTCCGCTTTGCCCCGCCCTCAGGGAGCCTTTTGCTCTGTTTCTGGTGAATGCAGTTCCCAGTGCGCATGCGTGAGAATCCGCGTTTCCAGCCAAGAACACGGAGCTTTCGCCAAGTAACAGAATAAACGAGCGAAATCGGATTTCAGGGTGGGCGAGGTCCATCCCACACGGGACGCTCACGGCCTCTCAGGCCCCGAGTCCTTCCCTGGGCTTGGGACGCCTTGCGTGTGGGGGCTCAGAAGGGTCACACGGGAACCGGTGCCCGGGAGACTGACGGGCGGGTGTCTGGGCACTGCTTAGCGGCCGCTCTGAAACAAGCAGCTTTCTGTGGGGGTGCCGCTAGCCGTCATACGGCCACCCTCCAGGAGCCCCGTGAGGTCTGTGATGCGGGCTGGGAAGAGACGCCCCCAGCTGCCTGCCGGGTGCCGGGGGCTCCTCCGTCAGGGCCCCGCTGTGCACCTCGGGTTCCTGCCGCGTGAAGGCAGTGCTACTTCCTAGTCAGGGTGACGGCACCAAGTACAAGGAGTCCTCCCCTGCTTGGATGGATAAAGTCGGCTCCGTCGGCCCACCTGCACCAGGTGTGTCTGCCTCCCAACCGTCCTGGGGCACGTGGCACACTGCCCTCGGTCTCTGCACAGAGCTCAGTCGGGCTCGGTGCTAAGGGGCTAACAGAGAAGCACGTGGATAAGGGGAGCCAGCGTGAGGTGGGCGCCTCCCCTGGGTCGGGGTCAGCTGAAAACAGAGGGCTTCAAGACGCGGAGTCCCTGTTCAGGGCTGGCGGCTTGAATGACTCAATCCAGGCTGCTTGCATTGCCTCCTGGCCTCCCGCAGCCCGGGCTGAATCCTGCTCCTGGAACTGTGCCGTCCCCACGCCCCACCCTCTGTCCTGTCCCAAAGCGCGAATCACACTTGTGCAGGCCCTGTGTTAGTGGTTCTGACTGTGCCAGGACTGGGCGCTCCCCCCTTGCGGAGTAGAAAGCTCAGAGTCTGGACTGAGATGTCCCCAGCTTCCAGCCCGGGCTTGCGTGGTCTCAGCTGTGGTACTGAGCGAGTGGTGTGGGTTCTCCAAGCACGAGCCCCGCCCTCTGAGAGTGCAGAGCAGAGTCGGGCATGGGGAGGGATTCCCGGGGAAGCAGAACTCCAAACTCCATGGAGGCCAAGCAGTGCCTTAGGGACGAGGAGGGACTGGGAGCAGCTTAGTGAGTGTGGGGCATTTGGGGGGATGACAATGGAGCTAGAAGAGTTCATGTGGGGCCGGCACTGTGGCAGTGCAGGTTCAATCCCAGCCTGCAGGGCTGCCATCCCATAGGGGCCAGGGTTGGAGTCCCAGCTGCTCCACATCCGCTCCCGCTCCCTGCTAATGCACCTGGGAGAGCAGCAGAAGGTGGTCCAAGTCCCTGGTCCCTGCACCCGCAGGGGGGATGGGGAGAAGATCCTGGTTCCTGGCCCCAGATAGCCCTGGCTCTGCACTTTGTGGCCACTTGGGGAGTGAACCAGCAGATGGAAGACCTGTCTCTCTCTCTCTCTCTCTCTCTCTCTCTCTCTCTCTCTCTTCTCTATCTAGCTCCGTAACTCTTTCAAATAAATAAAATATATTTTTAAAGAGTTAATGGTGTACAACATTGTTAATGTAGTAAGTCAGCACAGTATACACTTTAAAGGGCTGGTTTAATGTTATTTGAATTTCGGCACACTAAAGAAGGAAAACATTGTTTCTCATAAGTGCCTGACAGTCCAACAGTTCCCCTCCTGCACATATAACCACAGGGATTGAAGCAGCAACCCAAGCAGGTGTTTGCATCCACGGGTTCATAGCAGCCTCATTCACATGAGCCCAAAGATGCCAGCAACCAGAAGAAGCACAACAGGTGAGTGGTCCACAACAGGCGGTGTTTGTAGACACGGCTGACACTCTCCTGTTAGAAAAGAAGGAGGGTCTGGATAATCGTGGAGAAATCAGCCGGTGTCACAAAGAGACCATGGTCTGATTCTGCTCTGAGAGGTGCCCGGGGGTGCAGATTCAGAGGGCAGAATGTGGACTCGGGTGTGGGGAGGGAGCGTGCAGGTGCCTGCTGAGTGGGTCTGGGGTTTCTGTCTCTGCTAATGAAGATGTTTGTGACAGGTGCTGGTGGGTACACGACACAGTGAATGTGAGAGGCAGCTACAGCAGTGAGTTAAATTTCTGTTAGGTCTGTAATCTGTGCTCTGTGAATTTCAGCTCAACAAAGGAGGAAGACACAAACACTAAAAACATATTTGTCACCTATTTTTCCCTTTAAATGAACACATAATGATTTGGGAGGTGCAGCATGGGATTTGAGGGTGTGCTGATCACACCAGGGCGTTCCCATCTCGTCATGTCTTGTGTTTGGGCCCAGCTCCTCTCCTCGAGTTCTTTGTAGAAACACTCAACAGGTTATGTGAGCCATGGGTGCCTCCTGTGCTGTGCAGACAGAGCCGTTCCTCTATCTGACTCCACCTTGGGACCCGGGGACCAACCCTCCCTCATCTCTCCCCCCAGACCCTTTTCAGCGAAAGTGATCACCATCCTACTCTGCTACTATGAGACCAACTTTTCCTACTTCCGCGTAGAAGGGAGAACTTACACTGGATTCCTGGGAAGGCGTATTTCACTTAATGTTCTCCAGTCCCGGCCATTTCTCCACAAATGACTGGGTTTCATTAACACTTTTTGAGAACAGAATTATAGGGTGGGAGTTGGTACAGCAGTTAAGTCCCTGATTGGATGCCTGAATCCCACAGCTAAGTGCCTGGGTTAGGTCCAGATCTGCCTCTGAGGTGGCTTCCATTACTGCACACCTAGGAGACCGGCAGTGGCTCAGTGCTTGGTTCCTGCCCCAGGAGGGAGATTGGCTGCAGCTCCAGGCTCCTGACTGCGTAGCGCAGCCCTGGCTATTGCCAGCATTTGGGGGGTGAACCAGCAAACAAAAGATCTCTCCCTCTCTCTTCCCCTATCAAATAAAATTATAAGTATTTCAAAAGAAAATGATAGGCCTTTCATCTTAATTTATTTCTGCCCCTCCCCCAAGAACAGGGAAAAATGGTGTCTCTCCTACAGTCCATCGAAGTCTAGGCTGCATTTTTTCCAAGGGATATTGCCAGTCCTATCATATCTGCCATACTAGGTTCACCAATTCCCTTGAGTGGGTGTGTGAAGATCCCGTGCCAGGAAACCCCTGTATGTTCCTTGTACCAACTGGAGATCCTGGGAAGCCACACTCGAGGTGGTGGAGAAGGAACTGGGGTTGCAGAAGGAGGCTGATTCATCCGGACTCCCTCAGATACAGCACTGCAGGGTGTTACCATGGGACATAGAAAGGATTCCCACGGATACAACCATGCAGGGTGTTCCCAGTACCGACAGATGGAGGATTCCCATGAATACAATACTGCAGGGTGTTCCCAGTGTGACATAGGGAGGACTCGCACAATTACAACACTACATGGTGTTATCAGTGCCGACAGAGGGAGGATTCACAGGACACAACACTGCAGGGTGTTACTAGTGAGACATAGGGAGGACTCCCATGGATACAACACTGCAGGGTGTTACTAGTGAGACAGAGGGAGGACTCCCATGGATACAACACCCCAGGGTGTTACCAGTATCGACAGAGGGAGCGTCACCTGGGTAGCCCCCAGTATTGCCCTAGAGTTGGTGGTGCTGGGTAAAGAGACATCCAGGGTCTTCAGCCCTCATGTGGGAATTTTACCTGATTTTTAATAGACTTCGAGATCGGTTTTAGGGAACAAATGAGAAGTTACCACATGGAGTTGCTATAGACCCTTCACCCAGCTCCCCATTAGCATTGTAGGTTAATATGGGACATTTCCCAGCACCCTTAGCTCAACTAGTCCATGGTTTATTTAGATTTCCTGTGTTGGAACCTAATCCTTTATCTTCTCCAGGATCTCACACTGCCTCTGGTTCTCTCTGTCTCTTTAGGCCCTTCAATGCCCTTGTAGGTGTTGACCTTGATGACAATTTTGAAGAACATGTGCAAGACCTCAAGGACGCCCTGCCCTGGGAAGCTGTGTGACAGGACTGGGTGATGGGTCACTATGCAGAAGATGCCAGAAAAGGGCTGCCCCAAGCACAGCCCAGCAGGGACCCAGAGGATCCAGGAGCCTGGCTGCTGCTGTGGATCTGGGGCACCTGGTTCCCAAGGGAGCGTCACCCTTCCTCCCGGCACATTCTGTGTGGAAGGAAGTCTACGTCAACCCACGCCTGAGAAGTGGAGCGCAACGTACCTGCTCCGGCCCAGCCTTCACTCTAGCTCTACCACCAGGGCGGCCCAACCTGCTGTATCTGGAGGGGGCGTCTAGGCCCCCTGCTTTCCGGAGCAGCACGTCTGGGGTTTCCGGAAGAGAAGTGCAGGGTCTCTTAATTTCATGAAGTTGGTGTGTGGGGTCTCCAGAGAGCACCCGAGATTCCCGGGTTTCCGGAAGAGAACTTTTGTGGTTCCTAAAGATAGTGTGTGGGGGTCTCCGGAAGAGCGTGTCTGATACTGCAGCTATCCGGCAGAGGGGACTGGGGTCTTTATATGCACGCCCGAGGATCCCGGGTTTCCGGAAGAGCGCGTCTGGCATTTCCGGTCCATGAACCTTCTCTCTACACCGCAGCTCCCCCTTCAGCCCCACCTGGCCCCTGGAGCCCTTGGTACCACGCCCGCTTCCTGGTTTACTTCTCGATGGTGCCAACTCCCTGAGCGCGTGGGCGGCTCCTTGGCTCACCTGTCCGCAACAGTGTGGGACAGAGAGGGGATCCTGGGCTGCACCACCCCTCCGGGCCCAGACCCCCACGGCTCCTTCTCCTAGCGCAGGTTGGGCACAGGGGAGGAGCTAACGGGGAGGAGACCCTTAGACACCTGCCCGCCCGCGTTCCTGCGGTGCAGCTCACATCGCTGTCATCATCAACCGAGGCGAATGGGGCCCGAAGCAAGGCGTCTCACAGTGGAATAAGACTCGGCCATGGAACGAGTGAAACCAGGACGTTTGTAGCAAACCGAGGCACTGCGGACACTGTGGGAGTGAGACAAGCCAGGCACAGAGGAGAACCCACGCGGGAAGTCACTCAGGTGTGGGCTGTGAGGGACTTGGGGAGCACCATGGTGGTCACCAGGGGAGGGCGTGGGATCCGCAGGTCAGAGAGCAGAGCTACAGAATCACGTGGGACAAGAGGTCTAGAGGTGTAGTGTGTGTCATGGCGACTGTAGTTAATAACGCTCACTGCATGGGCAGCTGAAATTGCTTAAAACTGTGTCAGATGCTCCCAGCACACAATAAGTCTGTGAGGTAATGCACACGTTATCTAGCTTGGGTTAGCTCTTCCACGTGTGTGTGTGTGTGTGCGCTTGTTTTATGTTTACGTGACAAATAGACACAAATACAACCTTTGGCTTCAAAGTAACTTTCTTCAAAAGGAGAAAGTGTGCTGCCCTCACCCCTTCTCTCAGGCTCCTGTGACAAGCCCTGCCTGGCCGTGGAACAGGGTCTGGGGTGAGGCCAGGAAAGAACATTTTCCTGTGATTTCCTCTCCAGCGTCCTCTTGGATAAGTTCCAGTGAGCCCAGAGGGAAATGGCTCCCTGCCACAGCGCTGACACCAGGGGTGCCGGGGAACCTTGGCTCTGGTCCTAGAACCCCCGTATCTCTGTAGTTGCCACCGTGGCAGCCCCCAGGTGTGGCGGCCCCCAGTGGTGCCCTGGAGCTAGTACTCACAGGTAGGTGTCTCTCAGACCCGCTGTGTCCTTGGCAGAGAATCGCGGCTGGCTGTCCAGGGCCCTGTCCACAGCAGGGGTGTGAAGAGGAGCGTGGGAATGCAGTAGAGGGCACCACGACTCGGGCAAGGATGCGACGAGAATGGCTTCTCGCCCCCCCCCACCACATTCAGCTCACATCCTCTGCCCTCCCCCAGTCAGTATCCCTGGGGACAAGGGGTCAGCTGAGCCAGGTGGGCTTGGGCACAGCACAGCAGCCACGAGCGGTGCACACGCTGGAGCATGGTTGAGTTCCCTTCCTCTAATCCCCTGCATGTGGACAGCACGGTGATCTCCCAGGGCCGCCCCCCGAGTGCGCCCCTCGGACTGATCCCCCTGTTCCCGAGCCGCAGATGCGCTGTGAACCCACGCGGGGTCCCTGCATTCACCTCCTGCAGCAGAGGAATGCACTCCAGGCTGTTGGAGGTCTGGGCTCTGCTAAGTGGAGCTGTGTGGATCTCCCTTGGAGCGCTGACGGGAGTTCGTGTGTTCACTGCGATCCTGCGACCTGACGGTGACCAGTGAGGGCAGTTTCTGGTTGAGACCTTGGGTTGTCTTTAGGTAGGATGACGTCATCAGCAAAGAGAGGTAGTCTTAGGTAAGATGGCGTCATCAGCCAAGAGAAACGACATGGCTTCTTCCTTCCCAATTCGGACGCTTCTGTAGGCTTCTTCTCGCCCACCTGCTCTGGCGAGGACTTGCAGGGCCGCGCAGAGCAGCAGTCAGGGTTCACGTTTCCTACAAGGACCCGCACTCTTCCTCTACGGAGACAGCGGCAAAGCAGCGCGCACTCCCCTCAGTGACGTGTGAGCGCAGCATGTCGGCGTGCGCCTGCGCAGTCACTTGTCGTCGTATGCGCAGTAGCGTGTCATCATGCGCATGCGCAGTCCTGTCTTGTGCATATGTACAGTCACGTGTTGGGCTGTGTCCCGAGGCCAGTGGCGGTGTGCGCCTGCGCAATCCCTTGTTGACGTGCGCATGCGCAGTCCAGAGTCGGTGTGCGTGTGCGCGAGGCCGCCTCAGGTGAGTCCGTGTCCGCCCACACGGGGAAGCTGAGGCTCAGGGCAGAGGGGTGTGTGAGGGGACGCAGTGAGGGCGCCTCCCCCGGGAGTCAGGGCAGGCGGCAGGGAGGGGGCGGCGCAGGTCCTGGGAGGCCTCAGGGCCCCGCAGCGGGGTGGTCGGGTCAGGGGAAGCTGTGGCTGAGGGGCGTGGGAGCGGCGTCCGCGGCGGAGGGGGCGTCCGGGCCTCCCCCGCCCTGGGTCGGGCCCCGGGACCTCCGGCCGGGCGGGAGCGGGGCTGCGCCCACCTGCGTCCTCCGGAAGTGGCCGGGCTGCGACCCCACAGGAGGGGCTGAGGGCGGGGACGACCCCACCCCGGGGCGCATCAGCCCACCTGAGGGGCGGCTCCAGGGAGGCCCGTTCCTTGGTGCTGGGTCCTGGCCCTGGGAGAGGAGGGCGGAGCCGGCTGACAGGGCGGGGCGGGGCCCATCCCTGCAGGGCGCCTGTGCCCCCATCCTGGGGACTGAGGGCCTGGCTGGGGTGGGGGCGGTGCCCCTTCCTGTGGGGTGTGGACGGAACAGCCCTGCGATGCTGGGAGGACCCGGCCTCCGAGCGTCCACACCCGGTGTGTGTCCGTGCCGCGGGCGCTGTGCCGAGGCCGGCGGAGAGGACGCCATGACCCCGCCCTCGTGGTCCTGCTCTGCCTGGGGGAGACGGGAAGACGGGGAGGGGAGACCCTGCTCTGGGAGGGACCCCGCCCCCGCCCCCGCCCCCGCCCACAGCCAAGCCCTGCTCCCTGGAGACCCCAGGCTCAGGAGCCCCGGGGAGGAGAGGGCATGCGCAGGGGCAGGGCAACCTCTCACGGGGAGCTCTCCTCCAGGGCTGTGCGGGCCCAGGACCCGAGTGCAGGCAGGTGAGCGTGCCCCCACTGTGCAGGGTACCCCCCCATAGGACAAGGGCCACCCCGGGCAGCTGGAGTGGGGCAGCAGCCCTGTCTGGTGAGGAGGGCGTCTGGGAGGGTCCTGGCCTGCGAGGGGACGTGGTCCTGGGACCCAGCCTCTGGTTTCCTTCCAGGGACCCTCCCCAGACCCAGCCTCCGGGCTGAGCCAGGCTCTGTGATCGCCCTGGGCAGGCCTGGGGCCCTGTGGTGTTGGGGACCCTGGAGGCCCAGGAGTGCCGTCTGTATAGAGAGGGAATCCCAGAGCCCTGGGACACACAGATGCCACTGGAGCCCGGAAACAAGGCCACGTTCCCCACCCTCTCATGGCTGAGGTGTACACGGGGCGCTACCGCTGTGTCTGCCTCAGCGCTGCTGGCTGCTCAGAGCCCAGTGCCGCCCTGGAGCTGGGGTGACAGTGAGGAAGCCACACCTGAGCAGGAGCTGGGTAGGTCACGGAGACGCTGAGAGGAGGTGTAGATGGGAATTGGGTGCGGGGCCTGGGCTCCTGGGCCAGACACCCAGAGTGAGGGTGGTGGGACTGCAGGGCAGGAGGGAGAAGGGTGTGGGCGGAGCCAGGGTGCAGCCCCGCCCCTCTTCCCTCCTGACCCAGCAGTGCCCTGGTTGATCCCTGCAGAGGCCCTGACAGGGTCACACAGGGACTCGGGGTCTGCCCAGCGCCCTGGCCAGCTGCTCCAGGCCGGGCTCCCACAGCGGGGGAGCAGATGCAGCACTAGACAGGACCCCACCCAGGACAGGTCTCACTCACACCCCGGGGGCTCGGTGGGCTTCTAGAGCAGGACAGATTCTGCTCGGGCTCAGTGGACCCTGGCCCTGCCCAGGGAGGGTCCCAGACCTGCTGCTGTAGGGAGAAGTTCGCCGGGCTGTGGGTCCCTGTGGCCCCGCCCCTGCGGAGCTCCCCTGGCGGCCCTCCATGCTGGGGGCACATGTGAAGCCCAGCAGGGGCCGTGCACCTGCTCGCCTGAGTCGCGTGGCCTCTGCCCTGCAGGTGTGGGTCCATCTCTCTCCAGCCCGCGATGTTCCTGCACCCCTGTGCTTGGGGGAGCCCTGCTCCTGACTTTCCCAGCAGTCGTTTCACGGGCAGAGGTCACCAGGGGCACTGGGTGCGTCAGTGTGGGAAATCCTCTCCCGTATCTGGGGCGGGGTGTAGTTTATGCGTGACTACAGAGGAAGCCTGGCTGCCTGTCTTCTGTCCCGTGTGCTTGGGATCCAGGCTGTCACGAGCTGGGGGCGTGTTGGTGTTTGCGTGTGTGACGTGTGTCGTGCACCCCCATCACAGCATCGTCATGGCCCCGACACCTGACCGGCCTGGTCCTCTGTCCTGTGTGTCTAAGTCAGAGCTCGCTCCCAGGAGGGCGTGGGTCTGGCTGTCAGGATCGAACCTGGTGCCGAGTTTCTAATGTGGTCTCCCTCTGATGGCTGGTGTGTGTGTGTGTGTGCGTGTGTGCGCGTGCACGCACTCTGCCTCTGATAAATAAATCTTTCAGATAGAGAGGAGAGACACAGAGAGAGGTCCTACATTTGCTGTTTCACCTCCCAAATGGCCACAACGACCAGGTCTGGGCGTGTTTGGAGCCAGGAGCTTCTTCCAGGTCTCCCACATGGGTGCAGGGCCCAAGCACTTGGGTCATCCTCACTGCTTTCCCAGGTGCAACAGTAGGAGCCTAGAACGGAAGTGGAGCAATCGGGACATGAACTGGCACCCATATGGGATGCCGGGCTGCAGGCGGCAGCGTAATCGGCTACGCCACAGCGCCGGCCCCACACACACAGTTTTGTGCATCACGGGCAGCAGCCGGCTGGAGGGGCACCGTGTGAGCGCGACTCACCTGTGTGCTGCTGCCTGTGTTTCTAACACAGCTGTGCGCCAGCCAGAGACAAAGGGAGGCGGAGCAGCAGGTGCACCTGGCTGAGGTGCAGGGGAGGGTGGCTAGCCCCGAACGTGGTCCCCTCTAGCTCCTGATACTCGGGAGCCCCGACGCCAACCTTTCCCCCAGCCGTGGGCCCGGAGCCCAGCGCTGAGTCCTGGTCAGGGCTGACTCGGCAGGGCAGGGGCTGAGCTGTGTCCCAGGCTGAGCAGGCAGTGCCCACGGCTCCGCCCTCACTGGCCTGGGCCATCTTCTCTCTCAGCCTGAGACCCGGGGTCCCAGCTCAACTCTGGTCCTGAGGCAGACCCGGTCTGAGTTCCCGGGGCACAGGGTGGCTGACAGTGACCCAGAGGCCAGTTCATCCGGCCCCTGAGCAGGGTCTGAGACAGGGAGGGGACTGAGCACTGAGGGGCAGAAATGACCGGGAGGTGGCGATGGAGGGAGGAGGAGGTGCTGAGGAGGTCAGAGGGAGGAGGCTGGGAGAAACAAAACCACACGCCCAGACCGTGGGAACTCCCTCTGAGTCAGTGGCTGTCACAGAAGCCCTGCCCAGGGTCCCCTCCTCGGGGTCCCGTGATGCGTGGAAGCAGGGCAGGCAGGGCCCCTCACTCACCACCTGTGAACCCCGTGAACCCCGCCAGACAGCTCCACCCCAGTCCCCGTGCACCTGCTCACTCCCTGTGAATACTTTATTTCATCACACCCCACCCCCGTCGTATCCACCCCCCCCTTCCCGGATCTGAATCTCACCCTGGTCTGCACCTTCCTCCAACCAAACACCAGTGTCTCTGCCCCTCGTTGCTGGTGATGCAGCCCCCACACACGTGTCCCTGCCCCCATAGCAAACCCAACCACAGCCACGTCCAGGGCCCATGTGAACACTGGGGGTGTTGGCGGCCCCCTCGTGGGCGGCTCCGTGCGGGGCGGGCAGCAGGGTCACCAGACTGGACTCACGGCTTCTTCCTCCATTATGCACAGAAGGATGCACGTGGAGGCCTCGAGGGGTGCAGGAACACAGGGTTCGTGAGTGTACCCCAGGATCAGGCCAGCTGGAGCGAGAGAAAGAGGTGAGTACAGGGGCACAACACACACGCCATAGAGAAAACCCTCCATGGGGGCCTCAGCCATCCAGGTCATCCAGGGGAGGGGAGCACGCAACCTACAGGCCACGGGAGACCAGGAAGTCCCGTGGTCAGGCCCTGCCACGGCAGCCACAGGCGACTCAAACTC